ATTGCTAATAGATGGTAAGACGAAGGTTTTCCTTAGGAGGAAGTCTCATGAAAGCAACCCTTTATTATATACGCTTCTCTTCTTTCTCTTCCTTTTGTTTTTCTCCATAAATTCCAATATGAAAGCTAATTTTTCTACGCTATGACGATTGATGCTTCAGAAACCATTCTTCTTTATATTATCACGTTACACACAGTACCAAAATTAAGTTTCAGAGAAAAAAAAAAAAAGAAGTAAAAAGAAGTAAAACCAAAGAACCGTACGTCATTTCAATTCAATATATATTTGCTTTTGTTCAGAAATTCGGTACGTATATCAATCACATAAGTAATAATGTGAATAAATAGAATCATTAATTTCCAACAAGGACCCATATGCAATAAAAATCTCACACAAATTAGTACTACACAACTTACTCTATGGTTATTGATTTTTAAAATTATTTAAGATAGATTAGAGTATTTAATATACGTACAAAATACTGTTGTTTTTAACTAAAATATTCTTATTCTTTGTGATAAATTATTATTATTTGCAATGGTTAAATATAAGTATGTGTAAAATAATAATGCAATTTAAATTTTACAAAACAACAATAGATATGAAATAAAAGGAAAAGACTAAAATCATCAATAAATATGGAACAAGAAGGTTTTATAATTATGTGTTTGATACAACATGAATTTTAAACCAACAAATATTACTACATATTTTAGGTTTAATTAATTATGTTTTCTGTCCATACAATGTAGTGTTTTATTTTTTTTATTCCTCTAAAATTATTTTTCAGAATCATCTCTATATATAGTTTCAAGCTTTTTAGTTTTGTTTTTTAATCTCATCTAATTTCATTAGAATCGTATTAGTAGCATTATCATGTGACCCGCTAACAAAAATATATCATATTTCAACATGTATTACGAAAAAATTTTATAAGACTAAAAACAACAATATTGGAACTAAAATTAAAAACTACACTTAATAAATAAATAAAATCATGGAAACGGAAAATGCAAAAAATACGTGGACATTTTTTTCATATAAAAAGTACAGATAAAAAATTAACCTCTTCGTAAGCAAGAAAAATTGTAAATAATGTAATGTTATATTTAATTGAAATTTAATAATAAATAAAAATATTGTATCATCGTCATTCCACGTTTTCTCAACCTTTATTTACTTAGATTGGTTATTGTGCTTGTTAAAGAGAGAATAATAAAGTAGTGAAAATGCGTACCATGTTTGGGATCTGAGTAACCTTAAAATATTGACCAAAGAAAAGAGTAAACAAAAGTAACAAAAAAAAAACTTTTTTATAAAATTTTATATTTTGAAAGACAAATAGAGGAATGAACATAGAAAAAAATAATTGAAAAATAAATAAAAAATAAAATAAAATATTATTTGTATGGTGTAGTGGAGTTATGTAATAATTAACTTTTGTAAAATAGCATGTAATTTTATTGATTTAGTAGAAGCTAAATTATTTAAATAATATATATAATATTACTCATTATATCTCTCATACAACACAATTCAAACATACTGGAATAAAATAATATTTTTTAATTTTTTAAAATATATATTATGTAATTTAATTGATTTAGTGAAATTATGTTTAGCTTAATTCAGTCAAAACACACACACACACATATATATATATATATATATATATATATATATATATATATATATATAACATACATTATTTATAATAAAAAGTATATAAGAAAATAATAATTTTCTTTTTCAATTGAATATTAATTTTTATTCATTTTTCTCTCCAAATGAAAAGGTTAAAAAAAATCGGTCCCACGTAGCTTTTTACTCTTCTTTCTTATACAATATATAATACCAAACGGAAAAATGGATATGGTTTTTCATATTTTTCCTTCATTCTCAATCTGTTTTTTTCTTTCCTTCCAACGCGTTAATATAGGTTGCTCTACCTCTTTTGGTCTTTGCCTTCAACTATGAATTTTGTAAACAATTTTTCAAGCTTTTTATATATTAAAAAAAAACTAAGGTGAAAATTAGAAAATTGATTAAGAATAAAAATAAATATTTTATTATAAACCTCATGTATGATTTTTTTCAAAAATTAATTAAAATTATTTATACAAATATTTTTTTCTAATTTTAAGCAGTTTTTTTTTCAAGTTCAAATAATTGATGCATACTAAAATATTTATTTTTATTTTAAAATATTTTACAATTTCAAATAACTAATTTATAATATATATATATATATATATATATATATATATATATATTTAAGCAAATATTCTAAAATAATTTTGGATTATGCCGGTGATATATTGGTTACCTAGGGCACAAGGCATAGCAGTTGCTGACCATAAAACTAATTGAAAGCACTTTGAGGGAGACCTGAAGTTTCCCAAACACACCTTTAAAGCATAATCGTAAAGTCAATAACAATTTGAGTATATAATTAGACAGAAAAAATATATAAATTTTGTAAGAAAATTTACTATTTATTATTTTGAATACATTTTTTTAAAACAAATGGAAATGGATTTATAAAAGTGATCATTAATATCAAGTTTAAGAAAGATATACTGCTGGTCCTCTACCCAACCGAATGTAGCTAGGAAGTGGTCCAAATCCTTAAACCAGCATTGACTTGGTCTGTTCTTTCACTTCATATCTATCCACTCGTTATTACAGGTTTTTTTTTTAAAAGAAAAAAATTCTGCAGGAAAGAAAGTGTCTCGATCGAAAATGACATAACAATGGACTTAAGCTCATTTTTTTTGCAGGTGAAACTGAGAGTTTTATAAAGATGGTGCGTGGTTGTCCAATGATCTTGCAGTTATCCTTGTTGGTCCATCTGAGTGTAATTTTGTTATTAATGATTATTTTTTGGTTGAATTAAGGATGAAGGTATTAAAGGGTCTTAGGGTAACAGACAGCAAACGAGGCTAAAAAGAGAGGGCCCCACAAGGACATGCATGCATGCATGGTGGTTTGAGCGTTACAGCAGAGCAAAGGAAAACGACAAAAAACGTCACAACCAACCAAGCTTGCTCAGCCAAGATAGATTCTGTCTCTAACGAATAGAAACGAGGCTTCCTTGCAAATCAGTTAATGTGCATGAAGAAGACGACGACGCCCAAGAAGAAAGCTTCCCCAACTCCTTCAATTTGGTCCATACACTGCTTTTTACACACAATACAAATATCAAAGAGGAAACCCATCTTTCTCACGCACGTGATACGATTAATTCAAAGCTGAAGATCCTACTATATATTGCAGCCATGGTCTGAAGAGAGATTAAGAGTCTCCTCTCATGATTATGGCTTCTTCTTTTACTGCCACGTCTTCTTCGCAAAACCGCATCAAAATTGTATTTTGATTTCAGAGACCGAAACCCTTTTGAAGGAGGAGGACTCTCCAATCCAAGGAACTTCATCTGGTGTGTTTAAATATTCGTCTAGGTCTTGCAGTGAATTTTGCAATAGATTTTTCAAAATCATTATTATTTTTTTAAATATTTATCACAATTAAAAATTGATATTTTCATAATGCTACAAATTAAGACAAATGCTGGTAATTGTACGAGAAAAAAAATATTTATTTTACACAACCGAAATTAAATTTAATAGTATAATATATAGTTTATATTATCATTAAAATATATAATAAATAAATATATTCAGATTTATAAAATATATTTGGATTTACAATAAATAATGTCTACTAGAGAGAGTGAAAACTTTGCTCTCTGAAGTGTGTATTTTAATATATATAATATATAGAAGTTTACATATTCTCCGATGCATAATTCTAAACATATTCTTTTATTATTTGTTAAATACCAACACCATGGAACTGTATATAACTATTATTTTTATTTAACGGTCTCATTAATACTTTTTCAGTTTTTGATAAATCTCAACTAAAAATATAGATAGCTAAATAGCATGTTGGCATAATTTCATTAAAGTTATATATATATATATATATATATATATATATATATATATATATATATGTAATATTTTTAATTAAAAAATTTAATGTAATTTGTACACTCAATGAAATTAGTTATTTTATCCAAAACACAAAACAATTAAGGGAAACGCTTTAGTTTTTTTTTCTACTATTTTAAGGGAAATTAAAGGCATGGTAACCACATAATAAAAGTCGGGATTAAAATTCAACCATACTAATGTTAATTAGAAAATAACAGTTAAAAGTTTGTATCATACTGTACGTTTTATCTTGTTTAAAAGCTCTTTTTATTGAAAAATGATCCTTTTAGAGTTTTTGTAGAACCATATATTATTACGGTTTGTTCTTTTAAAGAAAATTTAAAGTATAAGGTGACGCAAATATTATCATAATAAGATTAATACTTTTAAAAATAAAATTACTAATTTTTTTTTCACATTTTAATATTCTTTATTGAATAAGTAGGGCGGGCCAATGTGACCACAATATTTCCGAATTTATTTATTATAAAAAAATGTAGTAAACAATTTTTTTTATCAAAGTGTTTAAAAAAATCAATACACCATATACATCTAGTCACCAACGCACCATCTGTTTGCACTGTGATCCATGAATGAGACTGTAATGGTGGGCTAAGCTTTTGGATATTTATTGTGCATAACAAGAAGGCCCAAAACTCTTAAAGAAACCCACATACAAAACATGGCAACATGGTACCTCACCTATGTTGCCATTTGTCATTCCATGGTGAGGATATGTTACTTCTGGGACTAAGTCTCACTATTCATCACCCAAAACAGTACAGACACTTTGATTCATTTCCACCGCAAACACTCAATACACACTTGAGGCTGTTATTGCTTCTTACCAATCACGTTTCACGTTGATTGGTAGTTGAATATGAAGTTAATCAACACAGGAATTCTAACAAAAATGAGATGATGTGCAGTTTCAACATAACGTAACTTTTTTTTTGTGTGTGGTTCTAATAAATTTACATCATCATTACCCCCCAAATCGTGGGCATGGCTGTGCTACCTTTCCCATACTCAGCATCTCCCACTCCATCTCTCCCATTTTCTCAACAAAATCGCCTTAAAACAAAACCAGATTCCAAAACAGGCACGTTCTCACCAATTCAATGTTGCCGCAGCCAAACAGAGCCCTTCCAACTAAACGGCCAAGCCAGAGTTTCAGAGAAGATCTCTCTTACCAACCCTGCTTTTGCAGCTTCCGGTGTAGCTGTTCCACCCAGGCCTCGAAGAATAATCCTTGTTAGGCATGGAGAGAGCGAAGGAAACGTGGATGAGAGCGTGTACACAAGGATACCTGATCCGAAGATATCCCTCACTGAGAAAGGGAAGGCCCAAGCAGAGGAATGTGGCAACAGGATAAAGCAAATGATTGAGAAAGAGCCAGACCAACACTGGCAGGTTTACTTCTACGTGTCGCCATATCGAAGGACCCTTCAAACCTTGCAGCACCTTGCTCGTCCCTTTGAACGTTCAAGAATCGCTGGCTTCAGAGAAGAGCCTCGCATTCGAGAACAAGATTTTGGTAGTATTAGCTAAACTACTCAGTACTTCTCTCATGTGTGTGTTTTCACACTAAGGTTCACTTATTTTTTGTGTGATTCAAAAGGGAATTTTCAAAACAGAGAAAAGATGCGAGTGGAAAAGGCACTGCGGCAGCTTTATGGTCGTTTCTTTTACCGATTTCCAAACGGAGAATCCGCGGCTGATGTATATGATAGAATCACAGGTAATAATGTGTATGTGTTGTTGGGGAATCAAACTTAAAATGTTAAGCACTGATGCAGAGTTATACACATGTGGTTCAAGGATTCAGAGAAACGTTGAGAACAGATATTAATATTGGACGGTATCAGCCACCTGGGGAGAAGAAAACAGAGATGAACTTGGTAATCGTGTCTCACGGTCTAACACTTCGAGTGTTTCTCATGAGGTGGTATAAGTGGACGGTTCAGCAGTTCGAGTGTCTCAACAACATGGGCAATGGAAATATGCTTGTCATGGAAAAGGGTTATGGTGGAAGGTAGGCACATTCATTTTGTGTACTTCATTGTATTAATAGCTTTTGGAAACCTAAAGGCATGCGCATGAACAGGTATAGCTTATTGATGCATCATGATGAAGAGGAGCTGAGACGCTTTGGACTGACAGATGAAATGTTGGTTGATCAGGAGTGGTAAGAACTATGACCCTATGACTTCAGTTTAGCCCTTTTTCTATGAAAACTCTAACTGTTATTTGATGAGTTTGGTGGCCTAAGAGATGGTTTGATATACATGAAGGCATAAAATTGCAAGGCCTGCTGATCTGAATTACGATTGTCCAATGGTGAATTCCTTCTTTCCCCACCTCAGTGAAGGAACAAGCAAGTGCGAACAAGGAGGTTGATTAAGAACTTGTAGTAACTTGAGAGACAGAGCAAGCAAAGGCTACAAACCACAAAGCATATTTAATAGTTCAATTATGACAATGAAGATTAGACTCTTGTAGGTAGGTTATTAATAGAAAAATTTGTACCCAAGAATTTATCAAAAGAAAAAGTAAGAATTAAATGATGGTATGTGATACCGTTCACAATGATCAGGTGTTGTATATAACTGGTATAACCAGTGTTTGTTGCCTAAGTTGATTCCAATGTCTGCTGCATTTCTCAGATGCAACTCTTAAATAAGTAAAAAATCATGATTCTTTTCTCTTGGATTCATCCCCAAGCTTTGAGTTTCATCAATGATCGCCCACATGTTAAGCCAACGCTTGAAGGTTTAAACAAACAAATATCATAATTTCAATTGAAATGTTCCTTGGGAGATTGTTCTAGTCTCTCTGACTTAACAATTCATAATAATAAGACATCATTTTAATCATTGAGTTTAAAATGCATCATTCACAATGCTATATAGAATCTGAAGTACTTTAGATAGAGTCTCTTGTCTTTATTTGTGCTGCCTAAGAACATCTGTAGAGAGTTGTTTAGAAAAAAAAGAAAAAAATTTAATTTAGATATCATGTACAAAGTAACTTAAAAAATTATAAAACGCAACTTTCGCTGAAGTAACTTTCAACTATTTTAAGTAATTCTACATGAAAGATTATCTTACAATTTTAATCTAGTTTAAAATAATGTTTTTTGTTTACAATAATTATTCTGAAAAACTATAGTTAAAGATATGTTGATAAAAGAATATTCCTTCCTACCATTGTGTGAATATGGGCGAATAATGCCTCTGCCACGTTGATGTGATTGGAACACTTTTTTTGGCATAATCCCTTCTTTATTCCCAAAACTTGTATTTTGAAAGATAAAAATTACATTTTTAAGATGTTTCTTTTGTATGGAGAAGGAAGTTGGACCTATGACTCCCCTCATAAGACTTTTTTTGGGGTACTTTCACAAAACAAAATTCCCATCTCCCATTCATTTTGAAGTGGGGGGGGGTGTAAATGGCAATTAGCATGGGCCTGCTTTAGATTAAGCTCTTAAACATTAACCATTATAAATGATAAAAGCATGAAAAATAGTGGAGATGCGGGGTATCGATCCCCGTACCTCTCGCATGCTAAGCGAGCGCTCTACCATCTGAGCTACATCCCCATTTGTTATTATATATAGGATAATACATTTTAAATTATATTTGTAAAAATACAAACTCATTTAACTCTTATTAAAAATTATTTTTCTTAATTTCTTTTATTATTAGATATGTTATAAGTTACATTATTAACTTTTGAATTTTTTCTTACTATTTGAATGTTTATGCATCACTCTTTTTTATTTTTATATATATATATATATATATATATATATATATATATAGTTTGTAAAATTTGTATTTATTAAATACATTATCAAACAAATAAATATCATATGGAGGAGGCTTTTTATACATCACAATTAGTTAAAATTTTACGTAATGTCTATTACTTTTGTTTTGATCCTTTAACTTCAAAATTAAACTTGTTTCGGTATTTTAATTTTTAAGTTTGAGTATTTGGCTCGTTTAATTTACGAGCGATAAAAAATTATCACGAAAAGAAGAATGGTAATTGTGTTATCTTTATGTTAACTTGATAATTAGATTGACTCAAGATTGACATTAAATATCCTAAAATGTTTTTAAAAATAAAAGATCATATCATTATTTAATTGAAATCTACATCGCATTGATATAAGAAATTTTTAACTATTTTGTTTTAAAAAAATACATTCTGTTGAAAGAATATTAAAATTGGCATATCAAATAAACTTTATTTAACAAATGCAGGTTGTTAGGGTTTAATATCTGTAATCTCTCTGAAAAAAAAGTACATAACAAAAGTTAACGGGCTCTCAGTGTTTATCGATAGAATAGTAATACATGAATACTTTTATTTATAAAAACTTAAACAATATCTATTCTTATATATTTTTTATTACGTTATATGATTTTAAAATACTTTTTTTTTTTATTAAATATCAGTACATTATGTGAGGGCTTGCTCTATTATTTTTTTCTTCATGATAAGTTTTAAAAGAGAAGAGTGCTGAGATGGGCTTCCTGTTTTGGGCCGAGTATGCAATTAAATTTAGGCACTTTGTTACTGGACGCTCATAACCCATTTATACATGACCCATCTGAAAGTGTATTTCGGATCCAATGTGTTTTCGAAAAATTATACCTGAAAATCATTTTGTGCAAACGGTAACAACTTTTGAAAATGTAAATTTTCTTTTTATAAGACATTTTATATAATTTTTTACAATGTTAAATTTCATTTTTTTTATTTGTCATTATTGAACATTATAAATAAGTGTATTTTTATTAATAAATTATAATTAGAAAATTTTGAAAGTCATCAATAATAAGAATAGTTTTTGTACATTGTTAATATTTAAAAATAATCAATAAAATCAACTAATTATATATATACATATATATAAATAATCTAAAATTATTATATTTTATTTTTATTCAATATAAAATTTCAACCTACCTTGCCATTCTCTCAAAATCTAATATAAGAATTCTGAAGATGGTGACATAGGAGACCTTATCACAGAACCTGAATGAAGAGCCACTCAAGTGCCTCGAACAAGAGCCTATACGCTTTTTGTCTTTTCAACCTTTCATTCAATCAAAATCCACATGTAGGTGAGTTTCCACTTTGCAGTGTCATAATTAATCGTCAATAACAACAGTTTCTGCATCACACTGCAATATATATATATATATATATATATATATTAGTTAGTTGTTTTTTTCCACTGACAAGGACGTTGTACTGGGTGGAGGCCAGATGTTGATCAATTCAACTACCTAGTTCCATCAATCAGTTCTTATTCATGTTCATCATATGAAATGTATATGGTAAGCTTTGTTTCTTAAGTATTATACAAATAAGACATTATTAATAATAACAAGATGTTGGAAAGTAATGGATACATATAAAACCACCAGGGACATCTCACCAGAGAAATGCAACCTATTTTAATTTCTTATGTTTGTTTATACTTCGACTCTCCTTTGAAACTGTTGAAAAGAATGTGATGATCCTGAAGATCACACATAAAGCCAATGAAAAGTGGAGGAAAATTTGACAACATGGAAGGCATAATAAACTATTAATCATCGAATGTTAATAAAGACAGCTTTTTCGGAGCTGGAATTTACTTGAATGAATGAATATTATGATGTGTTGGAAAGTGATGTTAATATTAATTAGTAGCTTGCTAGCTCATTCGTCACAACATGCTCTCTAGCTACCCTCTACCTCCGTGGAAAGATTCCACTTTTTAATTTCATTTCTCATCCACAAACAAAACGTGCAGACAGTAATATATTATACTTAATCACGAAAATATGATATTGAATTTTACTATTAATTTATTTAAGAAATAACTCCTAACTTACATTTATTTGCAGGACTTTACTTCCAAGTCAATTTAAAATACTCACCCAAACACATCTATGTTTGGGTTGTGATTCAATTCTCTAAACATATTTTTTTCTTACCTCAATTATGATCTTACTGGTTTATCTTTCTAGAATATCAAATATCACAACCAGTAGCACAACTGCTATCTGTCATAATTTATAACCTTGATTATATATAGCTAGTATCATATAGTGCAGACATTTTTGTACTTGATGAACTGAAGACCTGTGCAAATTGTTTATTTGTTTTGAAGATAAAATTATATATAACAAAAGGTAGCTCATACTAAATACACTAGTTATAGCAATAGCAGGCCCTTGTAATGTCATTGTCAGCACTTCTCCAATGCTTAATTATTTGAATTTGTTATGTTTTGAGTAGTACATTATATACCTTTCTTTTCTTATGGATAGTACCATATATAGCTAAAATCTATAGGAAAAGACTTTTTGGGTTAGGTACTCTATTATCTCATCATCTTATTTCACCACCACCCTCTTCCAAGAACCTACCATTTAATTATTGAAGTGTATGTGCACGTTTTGTATTGAATGGTATATAAGAACTAGCAAGATGTAACTAGGTGTGTAGAATGTCTTATGAGCATTATTTTTATCAGTGTTCAGATTGAGAGAGAGAAAGGAAATAAAGAAAAAAGAAATGAATATAAAAGAAAAGAAAGAAAAAAAAAATAGCAATGAGAACATATATACGATAAGGAGAAGGGGGAAAGTGCATGCATATACGTGGTCCTTTCCTGCCTTCACAGCACAGCACCTTGCTTTGTCATTTTTGTTTTTCATTCAAAATTCAACCATTCTCTATCTCCCTCACCAATCATAAAACGTGCTCTCACATGTGAAATTAAGAGTAACGGAAAAGAAAATAAACTGAGACGGCTCATAGCCAAGTTGGATTTGTGCTGTGTATAAGATATGTGCAAGTTGCTGTTAATTGTCTTCTAAGCTTTCATTTGTCCATTGTGATGACTCAACTCAAGAGGCACACAAAGATATCACTGACAAAGTTTGTGTGTATGGGGTTTCGTTTCCAACTTCTCACTAACACAGGTTGTGTTGTGATGCCCCGTGTCTTAACTTCAACTAGTGGCAGGCAAATTCTGAAGGGTAAACTCAAGGTTTTGGCAGCAGTAGGGAACAATTCCAGTTTTTTAACCTAAACAATTGACTTGTTATTAATGACAAGTAAGTGAGGATCAAATTAATAAACATATCAACATAATTAGTGGGAAATAAAATGATTAAACGCTGCAAACTCATCAATGCTTCGACTTGGCTGGCCTACTCATCAACATAATTTGGGATAGATGAATGAGAGAGTGAAATTTTGGGATAGGGATAGGGTGGTGGAGGGTGGACAAAGAATGAGACAAAAGGAAAGATGATGGGTGGTGAATGGGGATGGGTTTTATAAGTTAAAGTCGGAGGGTGATTAATTTATTTTGGTCATTGAGGAACAATGAACGTGGACCAATAGTGTCTTGGCCGCACAAGACACGATGTCAGAGGAGATTGGAAATATGGAGAGTTTGGCGTTGGCCATGCCCTCGCCTGTCTGGTGCCTGCCCACTCACTGCTGCCCCAAACAAATCTAATCAAATTCACATTCTTACTTCCATCATTTCCCCTGAACTCTTCCCATCTCTCTCCCCTACATTATGGGAGGAATCAACCACTTTTTCTTCAATTTCAAATCAATTAATTAACTCTGTTCCTATAAAGATACTTACCACTATTGTCATATGTTTACTTCCATTACTCGAAAAAAGATAAAATTTGTACTAGTTAATTAAGCGTTATTATAAGAAAAATATACTTTTTTATGTTAGTGATGGTAACAAAGAATGTGGTCACCATGGAGTTTGATTGATAATTATGTTATTGAAAATGACTAAAAGGTAATATTAATGCGTTCACGGGTTTTGCTGGTAAGTGAAGTTCTTGACTTGCCATCAAATTATTTGTACCTCAAATTTAACGCCACTCGCAATTCCGAAACAATATGCTTAAGTCATGGACCCTCCATGTAACCTAGCATTTATAATTGAGGTAGTCACTGTTTTGTTCTTTTAGAGGGGTAACGTGTTTTTATATTACTCTTTAAAATTTAAAATAAGCAAACTTTTGATTCTTAACTCTTATTATTTTAAGTCTCAAGTATAATATTTTAAAATGATAGTTTACTTTGGTTAATGAATCTCATTTTATTTCACAGCCCTCAAAAATTCTCTATCATGACTATCGAATTTGAAAAAGTAAATTGGGTTTGAATAAAGTAATCAATCTCCTTAGATCTTGTACACTGACGTGGGGTTCTCCAGAAAACCCAAAGTCCAGATTAACATTATGATGTATAAGATGCTGCAAACTACAAGTGAAAGAAAAGGATGAAGTGATTCTTTCTTTTTGCCAAAAAGAAGACGAAGAAGAAGAAATGGTAGATGATTGAAAAAGACTGAACCCAAGCCAATATAGTATGTCTCATCAGATGCATGAGTGTCAGAATAAAAAGAGAAAAAGGGAGGGATAAATATTTTGAAAGATGGTCTGAAATCAAGCCACGAGTCCATCTGAGATGCTGGAGATGCCCCAATGGAGATGGGACAACGACTCAATGAACAATGATGTGTTAAAAAATAAAATAAAATAAAATAAAGGCCCCATCTTTGCACACGCACCACACCCCACCGCCACCCAAAGCATGTCAATTACTGTTACTCCTCTGTTCCTTTCCCATTCTTCACCTGCTTCATCTCATCGCCACCACTCTCCATCTTCTCCTCTCAAGTTGAGAAGTGGCCTTCCCACAACAAACACTCATATTTCTTTTTTCTGTCTCATTGATTGTGTAACAAATTACTTCTGAGTTGTACTGTGTACCATTATAATTATGCATGTATGCAGAAGAAAACAGGACCAGAGCAATAAGAGGGGCGGTAGTAATGACAAATTTCATCGTCAGAGGATCAAAATTGGTGGTCAAACACTCAGATGGATTAATGGTCTTATCTGGAAATCAATTACAACTTTCATCTCCTCTCTCTCACTCTGACCCCAAACTGTTAATGTGGCCTAGAAGATATTTTAAGCATAACGATATGAAATAATCATCCAAGTCGTTGTTTTGTTTTTATTAGAAGAACCCTTTTGAACTTTGACATCTTCTGCTCAAAATATTAATGCCCCATCGCAATACAATTGAATGTATTGTCCAATTAAGTCAGTTATACGCTTTGACTTTCTTTCATTATGTTGCAAATTCTTATTAGCACTAAAACGTAGGTTTTGATATCCTAAGTCTGGTCATACTTAACAGAACAATTTTTTTACTTTTTTTTTGAAGTCGAGTGAGAGAGTTTAGAAGGAAGTGGGGGAGGAGCAGGAGAACGTGAAACGGAGGGAGTCGGGTGCAGAGAATCGATAAGAATATTTTGTTGCCTGTATTGAGTAGAACAATGATTCAAGCAAGGTGTGTGTGAGAGAGAGAAAGAGAGAGATATTGGTGATTAAAATAACAGGAGAAACCAACGAATAAGACAGCAGTTAAAGGGAGCATAAAGCACAGTACTGTACATGCTTTTGGGGTCATTACTTTATGATCAAAATATTGTCCCATCTCATCTCATCTCCATGGTCATGCCTGTCATTCTCGACAAAACCAAGCCCCATTTCGGTATTTCCACATCAAAATCTCACCTTGCAACCTCCCATCTATTTAACGCCTCCATCAAAACCAAACTGTGACCTCTTCCTCATACTAATATCCATATCTCTTGAGAGAGTTGTGTTGTGTTGTGACAGAAAGACATGGGATTTCCAGTGGGGTACTCAGAGTTGGTGCTACCCAAGGTGCTTGTGCAGCTGCTATCCGTATTGGGCTTCATCAGGAAACTCGTCACCCTCCTCTTGTGCTACGTGGGCTTCAACGATTTCTTCGAACCCGACATTGCGTGGCCGGAGAGGGTGCCCGAATTGCAGTCGGTCTCGGCGGTGCTGATCCGGGAAATCCTGCCGGTGGTGAAGTTCTCGGAGATGGTGGGGGCGGAGGCGGCGGAGAGTTGCGCGGTGTGTCTGTACGAGTTCGAGGGAGAGGACAAGATCAGACGGCTAACAAACTGCCGGCACATATTCCACAGAGGGTGTCTGGACCGTTGGATGGGGTACGATCAAAGAACGTGCCCCCTCTGTCGGACACCCTTCATACCCCACCATATGCAAGCTGCCTTCAATGATAGACTATGGGCTGCTTCAGGGCTCCCTCAATTCCATTACTACGATGAATGAATCAATCAATACTCCACCCTCTTCCTTTTCTCTTAAGCTTCTTCACCATGTTTCTCTTGTATATATATTATACGGAATTTCAAACAAATTTCAAAGCTCAGAATTCTTGATTTCCATTTTCACTATTTAGATTCCAAATTTTGTCATTAACCCTTCGCTGTTCCTTTTCTTTCCCCTTACTAGTTTTAGTAACCCAGTCCTAAGATTTGCGATCTTTTATTCATAGAGAAATTTGATTTGGATTGATTGGCGGCATCGCAGAAAAAGAAGGTAGATGTGGTCACTGTTACGTTACGTTGCGTATGAGAACTGTATCGATTCCTTTTTCAGTTTTATCTCCATGGAAATCAGAGAAAGCTTACACCTTTGGCAACTCCAACAAACCATTAATACTGTATTAATACTTTTGAAAATAATCGTACTGTATTATTACATGGTAAAAGACATAAGAAGACACCATACTGTTTTAATATTATTGCAATTGCAACTATAAATCCTTTTTCCTTGTGTTTCTATGTTTAATTTTTAAAAGTTGAGTTTTTCCTTACTGAAGCAGATAAAAAGAAGGGAAGGTAAATGATCTTTCGACAACTTCATTTTTTTCAGACAATCCCACTGCAACTTCATTTATCAATAATATTAATAAAACAAATTGTAGATCATATGTTTATTCATGAATGAGTGTCAAAATATAACAGCATCTATGGTTGTAAAAAGTGACAAAAGGAGTTCTTCCAAGACCAGTTCCATAGTCATCAAGAATAAGTTTTAGCGAAATCATTTAACGTGTGTTTGGATGGTAAATTTTTAAAAGATAATAATTTTTTATAAAAAAATTAAATATTTTTTTATAAAATATAATATTTAGACAAAAGAAATTAAAATTTTAATTATTTAAAATTATATTTTTAAAAATAGGTAGCAGGATGGCTATGAAAGGAAAGGATTTTGAATTTTAATTTTTAAAATGGTGTTGCTCTCATCACATGAAAAAAAAAGCGTTTAGACTTTTTACCATGTAATTTTTGTTTTGTTACATCTCAATATTTAAAATTAAACTTGAAACAAGTATTGTTTGTCTTTAATAAATAATATTTAAAAATATGTTTCTGACTGAATTGCATAAAAGAATGGCATAATTTTTTGTTAAAATATTAACAAAAAAAAATTTGGTCTTACATTAATGGGCTGGGGATCTATGAAAGCCTTTTTAGAAACTTTTTCAAGATAGTAACAAGGCATTTCATAAGAATAACCCCAATTAAAAAATATCTTCTGATCTCTGTCCCCATAGAAATAACAAGAAAAAAAAATACTGATCAGTCATATTAAGAAAAAAATATATATTAAAAGCATAAAAACTGTCTTTTCAAATATTTTTTCAAATTGCTAAATAGTAACGAAACCATTATTTTGAAATATTGACTAGTAAGATTAAAAAAAAAAAAAAACTATCTAAAACAAGAAAAGAAAAGAGAAGATGTTATAGAATAGAAAGAAACAAAAAATGCGTAACAAAACATGAATAGTAAAAGATACTATTCACCACAAAGTTAAAATAGTAGTAGATTTAGAATTACTTCCTATCTAAAGTATATAAGACATGCAGTTAAAGTTTATGAATTTTTGTTGTTGTTTAACTAACTTATTTTATCTAATAAGAAGACTTCATATATTCATGTTTGCATTTTGCAGTGGTCTTAATCTGCATTCAATTTGATATTTTTCTGATCCCTGGCACTAATATGACAACATTTCAAAAATTCAGAAATTAAAAGATGATTCACTCAAATTATATATGACAATATAACAGCAACGTATACATAGAAGACAAAGTATAATGTCATTGTTTTGTTGAATAAGGGAAACGCAATCTGAATACAAATAATTTGACCAAAATCATGTATAACAATGGTGTTGACATCAATAAGAACATGATAGCAATGCAACCCAACCATAAAGCATTCTTAAGAAAAGCGAAGAAACATTCTTAGCCATGTGAATACCCAACAAAAGGAGGGACTGCCTGATCGAAACGTGACATTTGTTGAACGCTGGGAACACCCATTACTGGTTGGGGTCCAAATTTGCCATCACGCTTGTCCATTTCAATCTTATGCTGAGTCTGCAAGTAAATTCCCATTTATGGTGTAATTCTAAACACTTAAAACAAAATTTATGAACAGTTTGTGAGTAATGAATGTTAATTTTACCTGCATGCAAGCACACACCCTGCAAGATTAAAAAGAATATACTAAATTAACAACAAATTTCACTCTAAAGTGCACAATCAAAGAGAAGAGAAAGGCCATGTAAAGAGAAGCCTTACGTGCAGTAGACAGAGTCAGCTAAGCAGGACAGCATTTGAGAAGCCTCTCGAAGTTCACTATTTCCCACAATTAAAGCAATAATAGAAAATATGCAGGCAAGTTGTTGAAGGCAAAACATGAAAGCCTGAAAGTGAGAATTACAAAATCAGTTAACAGTATATCATAAACGAGGCACGGTAGTATATTTTAGTGTGTGTGTGAGAGAGAGAGGCAGAGAGATTATACAATAATGCAATTATCACATTGCGTAGTTTGAATGTTAAATTCATCTTGTAACAGAAATCGAGTTGACGCCACTGAATTTCCAAAACAGCAGAAAACCTGAAAAAAAATGAATGACAGAGTGCAGGTAAAATGTAGCAGAAAAAATGCCTTGTAAATAAGCACAAAAAATACATAGAAACCAATACAAAAGAATTCCTGCTTGCTCTTTACTTAAATGGTAAATACTAATTTTTCTAATTCAGCCCATTTGTTTAAACTAACCCAATGCATTTTAGTTGTGGTAACCAAACAATCTAAAATTTAAAGATAAGAAAAAAGGTTAAATATAAATGAATTATAGCTTATTAAACTAAACAAAGGATGCTTTTTTGTTGGATTTTCTCCTACTTACTATAGCATAGATTAATCTTGCTGTCTGATCATAATGTGGCTTTGTTGACCTTAGCTTTCATACATAAGGAGGGTAATTACAGGTGAAGTTGAATCGACTATTTAACAACACCACCATTTAATATGTCAAATTTTCAGATTTCTGATAAGAAACAAATCATTGTTCATTCAGAGGCATGTTAATTAAGATATTGGTTGTAAAAGGAAGCAAAACATGTAAAAATGGTATACCTCCGTAGCGAGGCAGAGTTCAGGGCATTTGCTTTCTCCACAGCGACCACTGCAGGGCATGTAACCAGCACAACATGTGTATCTGGTGGAAACAAAAGAAAACCATATCAAACCAATCAACCACATAATCCAGATTCGTAAGTTAGGTGATCTTAAACAGAAATTACCTTGACATATCACCATAAAGAGCTCGTTTACGCAGCAGATATGATACACACGGTGCACTATAATTGGACAAATCAAAATTAGCTTATGACGCTGAAAATACACGAAATAATTGCCCTTACATGCGTGTGTGTGATTCAACTAACAATCATTGGAGACGCAAAATGGAATTTAAAAAGAAGAGCGGAAATTCGATGATGGGGATATGTCAACGCAAGTCAACGTTGATCCATGGCTGAAAAATTGCGAGCGTGAAGAAGGAGACGACTTACCACCAGAGAGCAAAGCAACAGTCTGCATATATTGAGAAGGGACGTGAGAAGAATATGTGATATGCGTGTGCGAGAGTATATGAGTATGTGGTTAGAAGATAGAACTTACAAGGAGTGTCATATTGAATGGTAGAAAAGAGATCAGCGTGCCAGAAATTGCGGAAGTTCTGGCGAAGCTGCATCTTCTCGAGGTGCTGCTGCGATGCCGCCATTTTCTTCCTCTGTTTCACCTCACCAATGATCAAACCAAGTCCAACCAACTACAATAAATATAGGGAAACAAAGACCCAACACAGCACAAGTGAGAAAAGTATGGTGTGTTCGTTTGGACGTTAAAAACGATGATTTTGTTTGAACTTTTCAGGGCATCTCCAATTGGCATATCGTTGACTCACAGCTTGACTCCTTGTACTTGCCGTAATAGAGACCCAAAGGAGTAAGCTTTACGAGCAAAGAAAAACCACACACAAACTAGACAAAGAAGATAATATTAAAATAAAATATATAAATCAGAGAAAACATTTTACCCATAAATTAATTTTATAACGTTAAATTAAACTTAAAGTATTTTTGAGATGGTAACAAGGTATTGAATGGAAAACTATAAATAAGAAAAGAAAAGGAAATGCCAGCTTAAGGTTCATTGGAAAATGTTTGGATAAAGAATTTGAAAGGATTTAATTGAAGAAGATATAAAAACTCTTAGTTGGGTAGTTGGGTTGGGCCCGTCCACTGACTACTTTGATGGTTAATATGTTTAAGGTTCTGTTACAGTGTTTTTAAGTCGTAAATCAATGGCTATTTGATTCGAGTTGAAAAATTATAAATTAAATAAATTTCATTCAAGTTTTAGTTTTAATTTTAAGAAACTGAATTGAACCATCCAGTTATATAAATTTTTATTTTATACATACTTATTTGTTTTAACCACTGCCCATTCATATCGTTTCTTTTCACAGTTCAGACTTCAGACTTCATTTTTTTCACACAATTGATCAATATACTGAGAATTAGTTCAGGAGGTTCAACTGATGAACATACAGGTAAGGTGCATTTCAAAATATGATTACCCAATTAAAACCAACTTTAAATTAAGAAAAATCAATTGAAGTTGATTGGTAAAAAAAAAAAAAAAACTTCATTAATAGTGTATCTATTTTATGAATCAATAGGACATGTCTTTCCTTAATTACCCAAAACTAATTCTCAACTTAATAGATCCATAAATATCACCTGAAACAATCTTCAGACAGATAATTTAATAATTTCAAATAAATTTTAATTTTTTTCTTTCATAAAGCAATTCAATTTTATTGAATTTTAATTTTCTTATTTTCATAGAAAATTTTAATTAAAGTATTTTTAATCTTTTTTTTATAAACATAAA